TCCGAGAAAAGGATGGAAGGATCCTGTTCATATGGACACACAGAAGAAGGCAATGGCACACCACTTCTGGATCATCTGCCAAGAACGTATATGAACAGGGCCCAGTCCGAGAAAAGGATGGAAGGATCCTGTTCATATGGACACACAGAAGAAGGCAATGGCACACCACTTCTGGATCATCTGCCAAGAACGTATATGAACAGGGCCCAGTCCGAGAAAAGGATGGAAGGATCCTGTTCATATGGACACACAGAAGAAGGCAATGGCACACCACTTCTGGATCATCTGCCAAGAACGTATATGAACAGGGCCCAGTCCGAGAAAAGGATGGAAGGATCCTGTTCATATGGACACACAGAAGAAGGCAATGGCACACCACTTCTGGATCATCTGCCAAGAACGTATATGAACAGGGCCCAGTCCGAGAAAAGGATGGAAGGATCCTGTTCATATGGACACACAGAAGAAGGCAATGGCACACCACTTCTGGATCATCTGCCAAGAACGTATATGAACAGGGCCCAGTCCGAGAAAAGGATGGAAGGATCCTGTTCATATGGACACACAGAAGAAGGCAATGGCACACCACTTCTGGATCATCTGCCAAGAACGTATATGAACAGGGCCCAGTCCGAGAAAAGGATGGAAGGATCCTGTTCATATGGACACACAGAAGAAGGCAATGGCACACCACTTCTGGATCATCTGCCAAGAACGTATATGAACAGGGCCCAGTCCGAGAAAAGGATGGAAGGATCCTGTTCATATGGACACACAGAAGAAGGCAATGGCACACCACTTCTGGATCATCTGCCAAGAACGTATATGAACAGGGCCCAGTCCGAGAAAAGGATGGAAGGATCCTGTTCATATGGACACACAGAAGAAGGCAATGGCACACCACTTCTGGATCATCTGCCAAGAACGTATATGAACAGGGCCCAGTCCGAGAAAAGGATGGAAGGATCCTGTTCATATGGACACACAGAAGAAGGCAATGGCACACCACTTCTGGATCATCTGCCAAGAACGTATATGAACAGGGCCCAGTCCGAGAAAAGGATGGAAGGATCCTGTTCAGATGGACCTGTCGTCAGACAGAACACTAAATAAAATAACTCACTGTCATGCACCTTGCCTTGTGATGTTAAAATGTTCTCAGTTGTGATGAAAAAGTTTTTCCGTCTGTGGAAAACAGAGCTATGGACTGGTGTCTGTTCTGCTCTTTGATGGGACATTAATTGAGCAAATGCTGTCTCTGGGACATCTGGGTTGTACTCGTAGACTCATGAAGATCATAGACCAGTAGCACGAATCCATACTTATGTGAATAATTTTAGAAATTGAACCTTTCGTGATGGGTTTCGGGGATGTTGTCTTCTACAGTTTTCTACTGTACGACTTCATGGGTTGGCAATGTACTGGGACGCAGAACAACTGGATTCGTAAAATAGTATTAAAATATATTAAAAATTGTCCGTCAATCACAATAAAGTAATATAAGATAATTAGATGGTTAAAATATTATCTTTGTTCCGTATCGAGTACTCGATTTACATATGGAACATTCTCGACATGTTTCGGCTTTCATAGAGCCGTCATCAGGTGTATGTTATAAACTCTTAATTCAATTACTAATTTTTAATTTTTAATTTTCTTATCATTCTTCGTTTTTCTTGTATCAACTTATTTGATGTGTTATATAACATTGATGTAATCGTATTGTCGGAGCGAGGTTGGTTATTGACCAACCTCGCTCCGATACGAATGTACTTCTGATCCCTCCTCTTACAACTTCGATATTACTTCTCTGACTAATATACGCAGCATTAACATCACTCCGACAATACGATTACATCAATGTTATATAACACATCAAATAAGTTGATACAAGAAAAACGAAGAAATGATAAGAAAATTAAAAATTAGTAATTGAATTAAGAGTTTATAACATACACCTGATGACGGCACTATGAAAGCCGAAACATGTCGAGAATGTTCCATATGTAAATCGAGTACTCGATACGGAACAAAAGATAATATTTTAACCATCTAATTATCTTATATTACTTTATTGTGATTGACGGACAATTTTTAATATATTTTAATACTATTTTAAATAAAATCACAATATGACGCACCTACAATATCTTATAGATTCGTAAGTCTTCAGCAACATCAAGTACGGAATTGTCCAAATAGCTGAGATGTCCATCCAGAATAATCAGGGGTCATCCTGGCAGATTATTGAAATGGTTTAAAAGTCTACAGAACTCTTCCCTTGAAGAAGTGCATTCGACGTAATACCAGAAACGGCTTCATTAAATAGACGTCACGAAGTTAATTCTGTCATATATATTTTTCTTCTCAGATCTTTCGTGCAAATGAAAGAAAATGCTTTCTATTTGCATCAAATCCCTTCTCCAATAGGCCTACTGTCCTTCGTATAAGTATTTATTCAGCATGGAATGGCGTGTCTTTCAAGCTTCCTTTCAGAGATTTTGTGAGTTCTGTACGAAACACTGTACTGTGGTGGTTGCTGCCTTTGGTAATCCGAAATTGATGGCTTGGAGTCTTTCTGTCTTCCATTGTCTTCCATTGTCACTCTCGTTGTTAATGGGACAGTTCACGACAAATGAGTGAGAAAATTAAATTTCACTGGAAATAATTTATTTGATAAGACAAGTAGTTTCAGACTACGTTCAAAAATGTTCTACATTAAAAACCATTCCTACCGGGCATATGTATACCCTGTACACACAATATCTAGCATAGATGCCTTAATATTATTTTAATAGGTACCTTGCTATGATAATTTAGAAAACCGCCTGGCAGTGTTACCCGACATATTTAGCTTTAGACAATTTTCATGTCTGAACAAATAAATTTCCGAAACGTAGTGTTATTTTTAAAAAAACACAGACGATGGACATGGTCCAAGAATTTAGCGATCCCGACTGTAACACACCAGCGTCAGAACCCTTTAAAATTTACTAATTCATACGTTTTCTTACAGAGAGGAACTACGTTCTGTCTGTAAAAACAACAGTTATGCCTTTTGAACCTCTATTTAGCAGAAAAATATTGCTACTGAAAATAAAATAAATTACGTTCTTACAGCCTTGTCATTCCCAATAGCGAACGTCCTGGTAAGTCTGCATAATATTCCCTGGGATAAACGTTTCTATAGACTTGTTGCCAGTAACAGTTTTCTTTAATGATTCGAAAGTGATCTTTAAATAGCGTATTCAAAGATTTAAAACAGAAATTAAAAGAAATCGCGTATCATTGAAAATTATCAAATATTTATGAACCGCATTATCTGTTATGCGTAATCCTGTCCTTGAAGCGTGCTCCAGTGACCTCACACACGCCAATATCTTTGGATTCACTTGTTGCAAATTAAAGTTGTCTCATCAGTCATGTCTGGGTATGCCTCGTTATCATTATCAGCTTTTGAGCAGACAACGGCGTTAGCTACAGATAGTCACAGATGTTTACATGCTGACAGCACAAAGGAGATGTTTACAGTGTTTAAATTACAATATTAGATCATCGACGAAACACGCGCTTAAAAAAGGTTAAAGGTCTACGATATCAGCACTATCAGTGACTCCGAAGGGCTTCAAATGAACTGACAATGGTATTTATCGACCAGGCCAGAGTATGTAAGTAAACCATCTTAATGAAGCTAAAATGAGACAGACTGCATCTGGAACCGTGATACTTCCTTGAAAAACAACAGATTTCGAGTGTCCTTACTCGGGCCGAAATCCGTAGATGTTGAAATTCAAACTGAAATACACAACGGAAACTACAAAGTTTATAGAATAAATTAAAATCGAAAATATATTGGATCGTATATTATTTCTTGCGCTGTATAAAATATTGTTACACGGTAAAATTCTCTTACTAAACGAAGCTATTAATAGAACGTTTGTTGATTTAAAGAAGAGATATTGTAAATGCGTCATATTGTGATTCATAATATTAAAAATATATATTAAAAATTACAGTCAATCACAATTATAATAATATTAAAAGATTTAAAACATCATTTAAATACACTACTAGTTTTCAGTAATTAGTGATAGGTTTATACTACATACACCCGTCGATGGCTAAATTGTAGCCGAAACTAGTAGTGTATTTAAATGATGTTTTAAATATTTTAATGTTATTATAATTGTGATTGACTGTAATTTTTAATATATATTTTTAATATTAAAGAAGAGAGTTTGACTACTGCACACAAAATTGAGTTATACGCTGCTGGACCTTCGTATGGTCTTCAGAATATTTCCTGTTATCTGATTACTTTGAAACAGCAAGTCAAAAATGATTGTCCAGGCTCTGTGTTTCATGTACTGAAAGTTATATCGTTGTGGGGGTTTTTTTGATCGAAAAAGTGGATAATTATTACTTCAGCACAAGACATTATTGAGGGATGAGGTGTCTCTGGAAGAGTGGTACAAAATTCAGCGACAGTCCCAGTTTTACGTTTCAACTGGGAAATTTATACTAGATGTGTGTCCTTTTGAAAATCTACGAGTTCATGTTTCAGACATTTCACTTCACGATCAAAGAGATGAATTATTCAAGATTGACTTTAACTGATATCACCCGTGGTTTTGAAAAACATTTCACTTCAACAATTTTTGTCTACGTCGTCATTAATAGATGCCTCGAAGCATCGAAAACTGGTAGAAATTTCTTCCACATAGCCTATATTTAAATTTTAGTGTCATATTAAGTTTTTTCTCTCCATTTAAGTAGCCACACTGAAAGATCTGTTCTTTGTTACAATTTCCTTCCTGATAAATTAACTATTTTTCAGCTCTTCAAGAAAGTTTAAGTTTTTCTGCATTGTATTATAAATCCGGCGATGCAATCATCTTGTTTAATGCCCATAATGAAAAATAAACAGTTTGTAACACGACGACTTCTTACTTTAGCTGGTTTTCAAAATAAACTGAAATTCGTTTCTTCTGTCCTTACAGATGAAACAGCTGTGTGCGGTGACTGTATTCCTGCACATGGCATTTCTTGTGCTCGGTTCGAATGTTGGTAACTCCACATCATCAATAACAGAAGAACCCAAGCCGCCATTCAAGTGTTTTCACCAGCCACTCGCAGCCTGCAACCTGATTGGGTGCAGATATTTAAATGGGTCACAAGACACTGCCGTGTGCTGCCACCTGACGCAATTCCAATTCAAAGAAAAAATGGCGGGTAAGTGTAGCTTCAACTTTTGAATATCACGCACGCGATAGAGTTACCAAAAGAACTTCGCAGTGCAGTTGGTAACACTTCCTTGACATTCGGCCCACAGACGGTTAACCGAGGGTGTTTCACTCATCCCCTGCAGAAAAATTCCTATATGACTCCAACTCGTCATCCTTCACTTCGCTCTAAGAATATTTTGTGATCAGTGCTGTCATGAAGCTGGCCAGAATGCGCTCGTCGCCATCTTGATATTACTTTCGCTTTTCGAGACACACGGAATTTTGAAAAAAAAAATCAAGAGTTAATTCCTCTGAATCCTTCTAAAATAATTTTTTTCTTTATTTATTGTTTACTTATTATGAAGCATGTCTTACTACTCTGGTCTTCACCTAAATTTTCTCATGTTAAGGCATTGTTAGACGTGTCATCAAAAATTCTGTACACATTTCTTGTTTCTCGCATCTGATTTACAGTCCAACCCATCATTAGCTTTCTTGATCAGATGCCCTGACCGAGTGTGCTGTATGCATTACGCATTCGTCGTACAATATTCTGCCTTCCAACATACATGAATATCTCAGAGGCGTATATCAGGAGGGTAGATTTTGTATCTTGGTAAAAACAAACTGTGGAACAGTATGCTACATGAAAAGCTGGTAGTCGTTCAGCTAGTTAAGGAGTGTCACGCCTGTTATGGGAATCGAAAATTTATTTACCTATTTCACAAGATCTCGCCACTTACCCTTTCCTAAGCCAAACGAAGCCAGTGCACATCCCAACACCTCATTTATTTTCAGTTAATTTAAATATTATCACCTTTCCTTTAGGTTTTCGGACCAAAATTTTATATATATTTATAATCCCTAATATGCGTGCTAGATGCGCCACCCATATCATACTCTTTAATTTTATCACCCTAATCCTGGGGTCTCGGGTTCGATTCCCGGCGGTGCCCGAATTTATAACTTGTGTTGGGCAAGGCCGTGGTCTAGGCAACACGGAGTTTTCCTCCGGGGGCTTCCCCGGTTTCTCCGTGGCATCCCAACAATTACTCCATTCACACACAGAAGAAGGCAATGGCAAACCACTTCTGGATCATTTGCCTAGGAAACAAATGAACAGGTCCCTATCAGAGGGATGTCACCAGGGGTTGTTTTTTTTACTGGAATTTGGATCTAAAAAGGCCAGCTGATAATAGAATTGAAGACCTAATTTGAGTACATGGACCATGTTATGTCTGGAAAATATTTCTTTCCCTCTGATCTGATATACTTGTCCCAGGAAATGTTAACATTTGTAAACATGTCACTTCCCCAAGATATTTTGATGTACGTGTTGACTCAGCTGTTAGGATTTGTGACTGCAAAAAACCGACAGTCAGCCACGTATAGGAACTGATTTCAAATACAACTTCCATGTGTAAAATCAGAGAAGGCAGAATGTTTTGGAATGAAAATGACATGAAATGCATTCTTTCATGACACTGAGTACTGCATAAACCTTAATGTTGGTTTGTTCTTGATATAAACATATACAACTACTGTTATGATGACGATTAAACTGCAGACTGTACAGAGACAGAGATTGTCGTCATTCTGGTTTGTTATGCATTTGTATCGAAAGTTGTTTAAGGCGGTGAAACTTTTTTTACAGAAATCTGTCTTCTTACAAATTCCGTAAAATTAAAGTATTCTGGTGTTCTGCGTTCTGAAGCCATGTTGTCTTGTAGGCAGCTTTTAGCATTCTGGAGGAAAGTGACACCTCCCTTTCAAAGCGGAGGTAAAAGACTTACAGGACCACATGGCATCATAACCCAGGACACTACATTCCTCATTTTCGCTACTGCGTTAACCTCAAATTTCAATCAATAAAATTTAATTTGAGGTTCATGTAAAATAAGGGTTATATTTGACCAATACAAACTAAAGTAACGTTCATCCCATCTCCAGTTGGCATGAGTTCCACATGAATTTTTTTAAATATTATAATTTAATAATATATAACTGCACAGTTTAAATTAATTTTTGTGCAAATTCGACATATTAATTTAAAAAAAGAACAGATGAAGGTATCAGAATTTAAATTTTCAAATTTGGTGTTTGATATCAACACTAGCCTCCTACTCTACCAACTTGTCTACCAATAAATATGGATTGCAAGCTAAGTATAGTTTTTACCCATATTCTGTCACGGGTCACATGTCTTGGGTAAAGTCATTGACATTAATCCATGTTTGGGGCTCCAAAATGTGTAATAAAAAAACACACAAGATCTAAGACTTATGACCTGAAGATGGAGGCAGCAGATCCCCCCAAAATGTTGGTAATGACATCATAACGAAGAATTTCACAATTTACGTTTCAACTCTTATAACTAATATTGAAGGCACAGCAATGTTATTGCCTAGACATGTTTTAGTTAAACTGCAATTTATTTTAATAACTGACGAAGTTCCCCAACTTATACGAAACCCAAGATGGATTCTTCACAATTTGGTCTTGGCTAGTTACAGATACGACACTGACATAATTTTTTTTAGAAATTCTGGTTGTAGACTTGCATGTTCCAGTATTTTGATATTCACTTGACTTATATATGTTGATTTTGTTATCTGCAGTACTTCAGCAGAACAGAAACCTAACAAGACTGCATATCATGAATGCAACAGTGGACGATCTCAACATGAACCTGTTCTGGCTGTCTAACCTGGAATCTCTAGCGTTTACTGATGGCCACGTTGCAAGAGTCGTGAGGCTGAACCACACGAACCTCACGAACCTCACGAATCTAAGGTGCCTCAATCTGTCGAGCAACCACATCACAGAGGTCGACGGCGGGATTGCACGGGAACTTCCAAGCCTTTTACAGTTGGACCTCTCAAACAATAACATCACAAATTTCTCATTTGAGCTTCCAGAGAATGGTAGCAACAGCTCCGTCTCCCACTTCTGGCTTGATATCTCAAGTGAGTACAATGGAACCTTCAAGCCCCAACATAAGACTATCTCTCTCATGTTTTTTGTTAACCACGATTCCAGGAAGGAAAGCTGTTTTATGTTTATGTCACATTATGTGACTGAAACTAGCCACAAAAAATAAAAACTTTTTAGCAATTTATTTATAGTGTCAAATATAACTGATTTCTTGTATAAACAACAACTTGTAAGATTTGAGGTTTTCACAGCGATGAGTATGAAGATTTCTGTCTTCTGGGTTGTTGCGACGTGTAGTATGGTCGATGAATTATCGCCCTGATGACGGAGGCAGTATGACCTCTGAAACGTTGGTAAACATCGACCAGACTACACAGCGCAACAACCCAGAAGACAGAAATCTTTGTACTCTGATGACGGAGGCAGTATGACCTCTGAAACGTTGGTTAACATCGACCAGACTACACAGCGCAACAACCCAGAAGACAGAAATCTTCATATTCTGATGACAGAGGCAGTATGACCTCTGAAACGTTGGTTAACATCTACCAGACTACACAGCGCAACAACCCAGAAGACAGAAATGTTCATACTCATTGTCCTGATGACGGAGGCAGTATGACCTCTGAAACGTTGGTTAACATCTACCAGACTACACAGCGCAACAACCCAGAAGACAGAAATGTTCATACTCATTGTCCTGATGACGGAGGCAGTATGACCTCTGAAACGTTGGTTAACATCTACCAGACTACACAGCGCAACAACCCAGAAGACAGAAATGTTCATACTCATTGTCCTGATGACGGAGGCAGTATGACCTCTGAAACGTTGGTTAACATCTACCAGACTACACAGCGCAACAACCCAGAAGACAGAAATGTTCATACTCATTGTCCTGATGACGGAGGCAGTATAACCTCTGAAACGTTGGTTAACATCGACCAGACTACACAGCGCAACAACCCAGAAGACAGAAATCTTCAAACAGCAACTCATTTTGCCCTTCCAGTTTCTGCTAATAATGTTCACTTTCTGTTTGTAGATAACACGCACCTCTGGTGTTCCAACATAACACAACTCAAATCTGGAGTACGTGGTACATGGAACCTTCATATCTTGAACCATAACTGCACCGTATGCATGGTGCAGAGAGATGAATTTTGGTTCAAATTTCAGGAGACAATTCTGTTTGATCATATTGGAGATGTCGAACAGGTAAATCTTATCAGTTGGTGCAGTGGTAATGCTGGTATTGCATTCAAGAATTATCTACGTCTAATTCTGTCAATGTTACTTCCTTTACCACCTTCCGCCTTTACTAAGAAGCTTTTTATATGATTCCTAAAAAGAAGTATTTCATGGTTTTCAGAACTTGAATTGTCCTTCAGTGGATAAACTTGTACATTTGTTTACAAAAGAAGTAGGCTAAATAAAATATATTTTTCTTAAATTTGCTCTGGTTAGTATCCATGTTGACGTACAGTTGCTGTGTTGATGTCATATCCGTTATATGCTACAAGTTTTGGTTTACTGATGAAATTAATTCAGGAACTTATACTCTTCAGATTTCTGAGTTATGACATAAGGCAAATTACGTCTGTATCAAAGTTCTTGCTGTAGGTATGAAGCCGATGGAAACACGGGACTTAGATGACTGAAGTGAAAAGTTTTATTGATTTGGAATTACGTGTTGGACAGAGTGATCGTAATGAATTAGATAATTTGTCATGAACCAACTGAAACAGTAAAAATATGAGAAAACTTCACTAAGGTCTGGAAGAGAGTAAGAAACCTGATGAGTCAAATTTTAATTCGAGTGTTCATTATTTAAGTTATTACTATCCTTCAGGATTTTTTCTTAAATTTCTACAGCAAACAAAAATTTTCTTGCGCCCTCAGTTACGTTCCTGTGTTCACAGGTGGAAGAAGACTGTAAGAAAACAAAGACACCGTGCACATGTCTACCGTACCGATATTTGTACACATCTGTGTATCAGAATCACGATTCTATGACTATAAGTGTCAATTGTTCAGGGAAAAATCTTACATCACTTCCCGATATTCCACCACACACCATAGTTCTGAACATCTCCAACAACAACGTGAGTATGCGTAAAGAAATACTTGACTATGATCAACATAATGATTAACCACTATCATATGAGAATAGATCATATAAACTCTTGTACCCTGGTCAGACTTTAACTGAGGTTACCCGTTCAGTGGTATGAGCCGAGATAGCTCAGTCGTTATAGTGACAACCTTAAGGGCTTGACGACTGGGGTTCAATCCCTGACGGGGGCAGAGGATTTTTTTCCTGTCCTCTGCGTCCAGACCGGCTCTGAGGACCACACAGCCTCCTATCCAATGGGTACCGGTGTCCTTTCTCGGGGGTAAAGTGAAGCTTGGGCGTGATGCCGATCACTCACCCCCATCTAGTGCCGAAGTAAAGAAAGAATAGGAGCTATATTTCCTCTCCTCCGAAGTGACCTACGCGACATGTAGCGGGACGGCTTTACTTTAACAGTTCAGTGGTATGCTAGTGTAAAACACACTCGGAGAGTGACAGGGATTAAGGATTCGTACCTTATTAACCCTTAACTAAAGTTAAAGTTGGCTTAGCAGGAGTACGAGGGGTTAGAAATTTTATTCCCATATAATAAAGGTGGGTATGAAGTAGCAAGTAAGGTGTGAACGTGATCCATTTGGTCAAAATGTAGTTTCCCTTTGTCATAATATTCCTATGCGATATTTGATTTCCATAGTTAATTTCCTCAAATTGCATTTTTATTTTAGAGAAATCTGCCAATTTCATGTGTTCTTTGCAATGTTCATAAAGTGAAATTGTACTGGGGAGAACAATATATATCAGTTGTCAACATTTTTCAACTCCAAAATTACGCGATGGATTTTTACGAGATTTGGTATAGGAAATCTGCCCTTAAAAGTTTCCAGTAAAATTTAATTTTGATTCATGTATTTGTCTGGCTTTCACACCAGGTCTGCATATTTTTTAAAACTTTCTAAAAGGTGTGCTCTTTATATAATTTGGGAAGGGGTAAGAGACGCACACACTTGCCGTTATCCTATGCCACTGCACTTTTGAAAGAAGTGCTTTATATAATTTGGGAAGGGGTAAGAGAGAAGTGTTTTATAAAATATCTTATATGAACTAATTTGTATGCAGTTTGTTTAATTATAAGTTAATTGCATTAATTAATTAAATTTAGTCAGATTTCAAAAATGAAGTTAATGTGTAACTGGGCCATATATTCAAGTGATCACAACATTTAAATCCTCAAGCTGCCACTGGCTCTAAGACAGAAAATGTATTTCAAATTTAATTGTCTTCTAAAGAAAAAGACTGTAGACAACATTTTCTTCATGTGTTTCAGATTACAAATCTGAAGCGAATCAGAATTGATCCAAACTACCAGGAACTTCGAGAACTCCACGCAGAAAACAACCAAATCGTGTCGATGCATGAAATTGAAGCTTCTAATTTTATTAAGAACTTTCAGGTCCTTGATATTCGAGCAAACAAGTTAACTGAGGTGAGATTCAGGTTCTACTAATTAGTAATTAATTTTTCTTCCATTATCTTTTCACTTTCCTCATTTATAAAGAAAGGTAGCTCACGGTATGTCCATACGTCTGCCCCTACCCTTACTTCTAAGTTCTCAACGTATTGAAAGATTTTAATTAAATATCTGATCATCAGTAGGACTTTTCATAAATAAAATGTGTTCATCTGAAAGCAATTCCACTAATCAAGCACTTTGTGACTTAGTGGGATGCATATCTGATTGCGGGGTCCGTAGTGGCCGCGCGGTCTGAGGCGTGGGCGTTGTGCCGCTTGGTCGCTGGGACCGTGGGTTCGAATCCCAGTCAAGTCATGGATCTTTGTACACGTTTTTCTGTGTTGCGCTGTCCTGTGTACAGGTAGAGGCATTGCGACGGGCCGATCCCTCGTCCAAGGAGTCCTACCGAATGTCTATAGATCAAGCCAACGAAAAAGTTGGGACCCGCAGTGCTCAGGCACTTGAAGAACGGGTCGTTCCCAGTATCACAGTATATCTGATTGCATATAGTGATGGTGTGACTGGAAAAAATTCCTCTCAAGGTCAAGTGAATGTCAGAAATGTTGCACATCTAGCATGTAGCAGTATAGTAAGAGTACTTGTAAATTAGAACAGTGATCTAATGCTATAATTGAATTTGTTCTTTCTACAGATAGAAACTTACATTTACAATAATGCCTTTGAATTTGATAACAACAAAAAAGTGAAACTTGCTGGAAACAAAGTTATGTGCGACTGTAGCACGGCTCAACATGTCAGGGTGAGTTTCAACGCTATACGTGCCAGTGAGTGGATGTTGGAAGACATTGCATTGCTTATTTCTGGTGTTTTGCCATGTGTGCTGTGAGCGTGGAAAGACTGCGTGGTGTTAGAAGATATTTTTTTTAGGGAAATGGAATTGAATGGTAATGTTCCCCTTATGGTCAAGCATAATGCTTGGATTTACAAACCACATTTCTTTTTTAGTAAGGCTACACTTATCTTTAACTTCCGATATCACTCCTTTAAAGAAATGTATGCACATTATCCCTCTGTTTGGTGTTAAAAAGCAGGTGAAAATTCAAATTAATCTTGTAAATATGTTTTTTTATGAAATCATATCAGCATTTATAAAAATGAACCACAGGATAATATATAATGACTTAACTTTTAACTTTAACTTTTACTGTATGGGAATAGGGGATTTAAATTCATTTACTTAGACGCGCAACCAGCTGGACTACACATGAACGATGCTGATAAAAGTGCAGATAATTTACTTGGTGTTATAAATGTTTTCATACTTTTGTCAGTACAGGGCATTCAGTACAAACTTTTGGATGTTCTTTATGCCCTAGCAATATCTTTCTGTCATAGAACACGGATTATAGCCAAAACTACCGACAGCAAGAGACAATATTTATAACAGCAGTGGCATCTATCGACTGAATTGTTCAGTGTCCAAAAAGTATCCTCGCCAAATAGGAAGAACATTTAAGACTAGACACGAGGAACACGTTCGAGCCATGATGAATAACCGACTTGGCACAAGATTCTTCTGACAGATATATTAGACATTGGGCAGAGAACACCATGACAATAATAAGAAAAACCAGAAAAAGGAAAATTTCTGAAATATTATGTTTCTATCCAACTAATAATAAATTCATACAAATGAATTTAAGGTTGATGACAGTAACCAAATTTTTGAAGTGATGTATCAGAGAATTATAAAACAACATAAAAACCAGCACACTGCCTCACTATACGAAAATGGTCAAACGCACCACGCCGCTCGTCATTCCACAGCGATACACCACAAGACACACAACTCGGATAAGACGATACTCCAGAACCACATATCATATAATGAATTTTTCACAATCTATAAAACTTTCTACTAATATAAATTACATCTGGACTCACCAAGCCTTGCTAGCAATTTTAACGACATTAAGAAAATTTAAATTTTATTTACGTTAAGTGGCATCACTGCCACTCCAGCCTCCGACATTCAAATGGTTGCAATATTTGTGTTACTGATGACAGGAAATTGAAAAATACTGAAGCAAGGTGGCCTCCAGCAGAATGATATTTGCATGACATTACATGAAAGTCTGTCATTTTATTTGAACAACGTGAATAGGAATGCTCACATTGACATGATACCATAAGCTTACTTGTACTTACAAAATAAGGAAAGTAGACTAAAAATATCTGTATAAAATCTGGAGCGTATGCAAAAAAAAAGGAATTTCACATAATGTTACCTTTTCAGTCTCTGGGCATGTGCCTCATACATATGAATGCTATGAGATGAAAATTTGGATCTTTATTAGTTTTATTTCACTTGGAGGCAACTGACTTTTGCTTCTTAATACATCACACAACCGACAATGAAGAAGACAATAATATTTAGTTAAATTAATTTTCTAGATCACTGTTTATTATTTTTATTCTCAGATGTGGCTGTTGAAGAATCGAAAACATATTGACGACTACAATGAAATTCGGTGTGAAAATTTCGATGATAAGGTGGGTGTACAGAAGACTGCCAATGATATGGGCTAATGGAGGCGAAAGGATGTATGCATGATCAAAAACAAGGATAATCAAAAATATTTTGTTTGGTGCTTTCACAAAACATGTTACAGATTGCTTTACTCTTCTACAGAACTGATGTCCATTCTGATAAATAGTGTGTAATGGTTTCTTTTGTGTAAAAGTGTTTAGACGCCTCGTAGGACTGTGAATTTTGTCGGTGGCTGTTAATTTCACTTTATTCAAACCCTTTCTGGCTCATATAGCTTATAAACAGTTATCTTCTAAATCCCAGGCAGTTTGTATTCTAAGAAATTCTTTATTTTAATATTATTTGTTGATATCTTAGATGTAACACTAAAATTTTTTTTTTGTTTGGTTTATAACTTGGTATGGGAATTTTGTCACTTTTTGCAATTCTGGAAACAGATGGCTTCC